ACTAATCTGAAGTCCACACTTTCCAGGTTGATTGGATGTATTTTGTAGCCTTTGCTATCGTTACTGCCGGGCTTATTGTTTATTCAGTGTACGTAATATTTCATTGCTCATGTTTATTTCCTGTCTTTCTCTACCCCATCAGTTAGCAGGCATAGCCTACTTATTGCATGTTTAGTAAGGTAGACTCGATACTATTGGACCACACTAATAAGGAAAAAGATGTCAAATTTTGACCGTTGTATGATCTTGTCCAATATTACGTACAAGCATGTTCTGGTAACGAGGACTAGATAGTATTTGACAGTATTGTGAAAGAAGACGATGCTTAAATTTTGTATTCTGTCGAGTCGTCTAATATTGCGTATCAAGCATGCGGTTAAGGTATTCCTTAATCTTAGCTTGTTTAAGACCTACCCCATTAAGAGCACTATCAACTATCAATGAGAATATATTATAAGAGCTATGAGATGTATGTATTGCAGGGGCGACAAAATGGAGGAAAACCCGGCTGAAGTTGGAGATGAGGAGGTCGAGCAAAGCAAGTGCTTTGACGAGGAGGCAGGTATGAGTAAACCGGATCACAATTTTGCTTCTTCGAGCGCTATTGAAAAAGATGAATTGGCAAGTAATGACGACTTGAAAAAAGAGAGAGAAGGAAAGAAATGTTGACAAAAAAAATAATTTTTGTAGTTGGTAGGGGAGCTTCCTGCATAATTTCAGCTGTAAAGGATGGTGAAGCACTGCCTCTATTGAAGTAGCAGCACAGCATGGAAAGGGCAATCATAAATGTTTACAATTATTTTTTGAGTATAATGAATAATATTTTAGTTTTTTTTTAATACGATTTAGTACTGTCTAATTCTTGTGACCAAACATGTCATTATTATAATGTTGTCGTTAGGTATTTTGATACCAAATAAACCTGTTCGAACTTACTTTGTGTTGGTTTGATTGTTGAAGGTCGTATTTTACTCCACAATTGTAATTTGATAAATGAGATTAACTCTCTCTAAGTTTTATGGTTACATCGATGAACATTGTCAATTGTTGGTATGAGTTCTTCCTAATCAGCAATTATTGACTGTCTAATGGATATTATCAGAATCAACAAGTTTTTCATTCTGCTTTTGATATTCTATTCACCAACTAAATTGGAACTTAATTATAAAATATTTAGTGCATATTCTGTTTGTAATTCTCGATACTATAATGAAAATAATTTTATTTTCATATTGAACTGATTTTTAATTTATTAATATTTATTAGCGTGAACGATAGATTGTAATTTTCTTCAAATTTTCAATTGGAACCGATTTTTAATTTGTTGATATTTATTTGGTGGATTTTGTAGAATGGTGAAATAAGTTATTTCAAAGTTATGAATTTTCCGTAATAAATTTTAGAAGATTTTATTTTCTTATTGTAAATTTAGGATTTTACATTTTTTAAAATTTATAATGAAAATATATGAAATAAAATTATCTTAAAATCTTATAAATAATGTGAAATTTTATTCATGGATTAAAAAATACATACATGCTTCGGATGCTAAGTATGAGAGGAACCTACATATATTCTAAATCCCTGTTTGCTTCAACTAAAAAAGTTAATGAAAATTTAAGTTAAAATCAACGATTAATTTTAATAATATATTTTATGAGATCGAAACTTTTCAACTGCATATGTTATCAACTTTTTTCAAAGTTTAATTTTTTATCTAAACCAAACATGACAAACTCAAGAAAAGAACTGAAAATTTAGGAGCATATGCACAATTCACTAGAAATCATAGGATGTTGGAAATTTAAGACAAATGCCCTTTTTTAACCCCACGTGATTTTTATTCTCAGAGAAAAATAATAAATAATAAAAATAAGACAAAAATTTATGGTCCGGCAAAACTTTCACTGTATGAAAAATTTGTACAATTATATATATGATTTCACTCGCTCATTCAGACCCTCAAGTATTGTAAGAGAAATACTATAAGTTTTACAGTACTACCAATTTTTAGCACGTGTCTCTGTATAATATCCTACTTCAAAATTGGACCAAATTCGACTAAATTAGGGACACGATAAGTGACGGGAAAATGTACACATACACCTGACATTTTTTCATTGGCAGTTAAGTAAAAACTAAAGAAAATATTGCCAATCAAAAACTGCCACTTCACGCCCCAGACAATGCCGACCTTGTTTGTTTAGCTGTTTTTTTTTTTCCTGTTAATTGTATCCTTCTCAAATTCAATTTACAACTCCAATCATGCAAAACGCGTTCTCTTTTCTATTTTCGAAAACGCGTTTTTGAAAGTAAGTTAAAATTTACAAAGAAAGCTCAAAACGACAAATTTGTCGTTTTGATTGTTTTCAGTTATAATCAAGTCAAAAATTTTCAAAACGCGTTTTGTGTGTTTTCAAAATGTCAAAAAGAATACATTTTCAACAATCTTAAAATGGACACTCAAAACACAAAACACAAAATGAATTCAAAATTCAAAACACAAAATTGAAACACAAAGAGAACAACCTCTAAGCTTTTGTAAAGTAACTTCTTAACAAGACAAAGATATGATCGACTACAATGATTATATTTACTTAGATTATTTCAATTCTTCAAAAT